AAGGAGAGAGAGAGAGAGAGAGTGAGAATCTTAAGCAGGCTCCACGCCCAGCCTGGAGTCTGACGCAGGGCTCAATCTCAAAACCCTGAGTTTATGACCTGAGCTGAGATCATAACCTGAGTCAAAATCAGGAGTCGGAGGCTTAGCCAACCGAGCCACCCAGGCATCCGGAGAATCCTCATTTCTAACAAGTTTCCAGGATATACCCATGCTACCGGTCTAGGGACATACTTTGCTAGCCACTATATTAGTGTATAAAACCAGGAGAACGATTTGTGCTGTTGTTGTGAAGGAGGAGGAGGAAGAAGAGGATTTATTTAGAATCTGTATTTATGAGAATTCATGAGAATAAGCTCCTGTATTACACTCTGTCTACATTTTCTCCCAGCAAGGGAGGGATTATTCTCCCCATTTTATTTTTTTTTTAAGCTCTACAGCGGACATGGGGCTTATATTCACGACCCTGAGATTAAGAGTCTCACGCTCTAGCGACTGAGCCAGCCAGGTGCCTCTATTCTTCCCATTTTAGAGAGGAGGAATTCAAGGCTGTTGTTCACACATCTCACAGCCTGCCCTCAGCCTGGCCATAATAAAGCTGAGGCTGAATGGCTACCTGCAGCAGCCTTTAAGCAGGCTTCTGTTTCTGAGTGGAAGGATCATTTCAGAGGTTCCTTCCGACCCTTAAAGTTAGGCTAGCTTTAACTAGCACTTTTATTTTTTCTTTTTTTTTTAAAGATTTTATTATTTATTCATGAAAGACAGAGAGAGAGAGAGGCGCAGAGACACAGGCAGAGGGAGAAGCAGGCTCCATGCAGGAAGCCTGATGTGGGACTCAATCCCGGGTCTCCAGGATCACACCCCAGGCAGAAGGTGGCACTAAACCTCTGAGCCACCAGAGCTGCCCCTAACTAGCACTTTTAAGTGCTAACATATCCTCAGCACCAGCTAAATGCTAGGTCTTATGCAATATTCTCTCCAGGATGCATGTGGCCACTGGTCTACCTCTTAAGATGCTTCTGGGCCATCTCATCTGCTCCTGTTTCTCCTATCCCCCTTGGCACCTGCAGTAACCATCCCCCACCTCTCCATGCCAGCCGATAACTAGGTTCATTCAGATATTTGGCAAAGGAGACTTTTTTGTAGACATGCGCATCTCTGCTGTTTGCATTCATGTGGGGTAGGGTAGCTGGGTCATCTAGGTCCAGTCCTTGGCACCAGGTTGTCTGCCACTCACCCCATGCCAACCCCAGACAGAGCCTGCCAATCTATTCTCCAGACTCTGGCCAGCAGGCAATGATGTGGGGGCTGTGAAGTAGGGGAAGGGCAGCCTCATTCCCCAGAATGGCCAGAGGAACTGTAGATGTGCTTAATGACCTTGAACCAGAGATTTCTTGGACTGCTCCTGCCTGGTTTCCTCAGAGTCTGGGAAGCAGAGACCAGAGAGCACTGGGGACCAAAGCAGGCCCACGGTTACTTAGAGGATTTTGCCAAACATGAAATCAGGCCCAAGCCCAAGTGGCCCCCTCTAGGCTGTGATAATCAAAACTCTTCTTTTTGTATATTTTTTTAATATTTAAGGTTTTCAATTCTAACAAAAACAGGAACAAAGACAAAGTGTACTTGTGGTTGTATGCACTAAAGAGTTTGGGCATTTATTGCTTATCAACTTCCAGGAGCAAGTGGGAGTCAGTAGAGTGCAAACACCTCTCACCAAGGAGCTGATCCTGGGACTTGGTGAAGAACAAACCCAATGGCCCCTGCCTTGGAGGAGAGGCAACACAACGGATGATTACCAATGATTTAGGAAGGGCCCCCAAGGAGGGCCCCAAGGAAGTCAGGGAAAGCTTCGCAGAGGAGGCAACCCTTGAGGCAAATAAACAGATTCTAGTCGGCAAAAGCCTGAGGACCCTTCACTCCCATTGATCCTTTCTGCCAATCTAGTCCATCTGTCCTTATTTGGGGGCCTCAGACTGCTTTCCAGAGCTACTAGGGGAAAGGGATCATTTCCTTCCAATGTGCAAGGAGAGAAATCCGAGGGTGACTAAGGGACCATCCAAGGTTTTGTCGTTAAAATTTAAGATCGACCGACCACAGGGTGCCCAGCTAGGGCTAGACATTTGGATCCTCGACACAGAAGAAATACGGGACAGCCCCCTGTCCCTGGGAACTTATCATTGGGAGATAAGATATGTAAATGAAAAACCAAAAATAATTGTAAAGGCAATGGGCACATAATTCAGTTCCCCAGCTATTTTTCCAGGACTTGCTATCTGCAAGGCATTCTGTGAGGCACATATGGGGGTGGGGAGATTTAGTAAATATAATATAACGTGGCAAATATAGCCCTAGGCCTTAAGAACTCACCATTTAACTGGCTGCAGGGGAGGCAGGGGTGGCAGGAAGAGGAAGCTGACCATCCCTGGATATAACAGCTGACATGGAAGATTGTACGGGGCAAGGAGGGGATCAGAGGCTTGCTGGAATTTGGGGGTTGGATTGGATTGTTCCAGAAAAGATTCCTGAAAGAGGTAGACAACGTGATGATATTGGAAAATAGAGAAGATGGAAAAGAAAAAGAAGAAAAAATGAGCAAAACCTTTTCACATACCCATCCTTCCACATCCAGTCCAGGAACGAAGCCTTCCCAGGCAAAATGACATACTTCCGCCTGCAGGACTCAAACCATCCCCGTGACAGAAAGTACCTCATTGCTGTACTTGTTTCCCTGCCTGCTTGTCCCAGCTCAAGGGGCCTGCATGCCAGAGAAAGAAAGAAAGAAAGGAAGAAGAAAAGAAGGCAGCCTTTCTGATCCTAAGGAGGCTGGGTATCGCATTCACAATAGAGTGTCTCACTTTGTTTTTGTTGTGTGGTTTTTTTTTAAAAGATTTTATTTATTTATTCATGAGAGACACAGAGAGAGAAGCAGAGACACGGGCAGAGGGAGAAGCGGGTTCCTCGCAGGGAGCCTGATCCGGGACACAATCCCCAGACCCGGGATCAGGACCTGAGCTGAAGGCAGATGCTCAACTGCTGAGCCACCCAGGCGTCCCTCACTTTGTTTTTGTTTACTTATTTTTATTTTTTACTATTTTATCAAACCGTAACCTGTGTACACTATAAGACATAAATCCTAAGCGTACATTTGTTTGTATGGAATGAATTTTTACATATGTTTATATCTGTGTAACCATCACCCAGATCAAGCTATAGGATGCTTGTAGCGCCCCTGACACTGTGGGCTGCCCCACTGTACCAGGGTCACTGCCATTGTGGCTGGAGGAGCTGAACCAGTAGGGTGATATATCTAGGGAATAGCATCCAAGGAAATCATGAAAGAATTTCAGGTGTTTGGGCTGAAGAAGCCAAGTGTTAGGGCGGGGTCATGTGCTTGAAAGACTAACATGCCCAGAGCAATTAGCCTTGTCCTGTGGGTGGCTGTGGGGAGACATAGGGAGGGGCGTTTCAGTTGAGCCTGAAACCCTTCCTTACAGCTGGAGCTGACCCACACTGGAAGAAGACCCACAGGAAATGATAGGTAAGGTCCCCGACAGTAAGAGGTATCAGTCAAGAGCAGGACTGACAGACATTTATCAGCAGTGATGGAGAGGGGAGAGGGGGCTCAAGTTGGAGGCGGTTCCTTCCGACTTTGAGCTTCTGTGGTTCTAGAATTCTGTGAGAACGGCATGAAGGGTCCAAACGCTTGTAGTTACGATTTATTTTTTTGTTTTTGTTTTCCAGAGGATAACTTTACACTGAATCACAAATGCTGTGTGGACTCGCCGTTACCACCACGGAATAAGTAATTGTTCTTACCTTCCAGCCCACTGAGCCAGAGAGACCCTGGGACTCTGCTGTCAGGTGCTCAGAGTCTGGGGGTGGGGGTGGGGGCAGTGGAGCAGCTGCTGGAGTGCCACTGGGAGATGAAATCAGTGCCCCCAAGAGAAGTTAATTAGCTCTGTTGATGCCAAGTTGTCATGAGAGCATCCACCCTCCTACGTCCTCAGCCTCTTCAGCTCTGGTCCCCCTGGAGGCCCGTGGGCACGATGTCCCGGCTCCTGCCGCCACTAGAACAGCTGAGCAGAGGGGACGCTCTGCAAATACTGCTCGGCCTCCAGGGGCCAATGCAGGAACCCCGGCTCCCTCCGAAGCAGGACCACACGGGACCCAGCAGCTCCGCGGCCTCCTGGGAGGAGGGTCCGGCCGTGTCAGCCGCAGGCCCCCGCAAGAACTACCAGTCTGCGCACTGACCCCTCTCACCCCGCAATCCCGTCCGAGTTTTTCCAGCAAAAAGACGGAATTTTCCCCCAGAAATCTTTTTACCCCTGGAGGCCGGCCTCCGACTTCCTCCTGGGATTTCTCCCGGGCGCTGCCTTCCCCTCCCCTCCCCTCCCCTCCCCTCCCCTCCCCTCCCCTCCCCTCCCCGCCGGGAACAGGGAGGCCCGCGGAGCCTGGACGGGACACCTGCGGCGCACGGCGAGGGCTTAGCCAGGACCGCGCGCTTCCACCGTTTTCTCTCCAAAGCGCTTTCCCTCTTGAGGTTCTAGCGAAAGCCACGGATACAGTCTCCCAAGAAGAGAACGAACGTGGGAGATTTTGCCATCCATTCAGGGGGAAGGGGGGGCGCTGCCAGGCCCCCGGAGTCCAGCCGCCGCCCCCAGAGTCGGTCCTCCCCCGCGAAGCCCAGGCCCGGCTGGAGTCTGGGGGGATGGTCCCCCCGAGCTGGGACTCGCAGCGCGAGCACCGGGACGCCTCGGGCTCGGCGCCCCCAGCCCCCCGGCGGCCGCGGGGGCGCGCGGGGCGCACAGGCGGGCCGGGGGCGGGAGCGCGGGCGGCCGGCGCTGGGTCTGCAGCCGCGGGGGGAGCGCGGGCCGGGCGGCCCCGGGAGGCCGGCGCCCCGCAGACGCGCCCCCGCCGCTCCCCGGGCGCGAGGGCGGGGCCCCCCGCCAGGCCGCCCCTCCCCGCCCCTCCCCGGCCCTCCCCGGCCGCCGGCCTCGCGGGCCCCGCGGGCGCTGCACTCGGGCTCGGGCGCGCGGAGCCAGCGGCCGCCAGCCCGCAGCGGGGCCATGGGCCGCGACGGCCGCGTGCCGGGGCTGCTCCGCCGCCACCTGCAGCCCACGCTCACCTACTGGAGCGTCTTCTTCAGCTTCGGCCTGTGCATCGCCTTCCTGGGGCCCACGCTGCTGGACCTGCGCTGCCAGACGCACAGCTCGCTGCCCCAGATCTCCTGGGTCTTCTTCTCGCAGCAGCTCTGCCTCCTGCTGGGCAGCGCCCTCGGGGGCGTCTTCAAGAGGACGTGAGTGCCCGGCGCGCCCCGAGCCCCCGCGCCCGCCCCGCGCCCGCCCCGCCGCTCCTCGGCACGGCCGCGCCGGCCCTTCCCTGCCCTTCCTCTCCCTTCCCTGCCTTCCCGCCCCTGGCGGCCGCCGAGCCCCTGCCCTACCCGCCCCCGCTCCCCCTCCCGGGGCTGAGGCTGCCCGGCGCCCCCCCCCCCGACCCTCGGGCGCGCGGCGACCACCGTCCCCGCGCCTCCAGCCGCCAGCCGCGCCCCGCCGGAGCCGGAGGGCTGCTCCCTCCTCCACCCCCGCTCTCCCCGGAAAAGTCTCTCCGGAGACTGAAGGTGACTTGGGGATTATTCCTTTGCCTTCGCTCCCCGCTCACGGAGCCCGGGGAGTGGGGGTGGGGGTGGGGGTGGGGGTGGGGGGAGCGCGGTGATGGAGCTGGCGGCGGGGAGGGCCCCCCGTGCGCGCCCGCTCCGAGCTTTGTGGGTGTCGCCGCTGCTGCCGGGGGCGGAGTGGAAGTGAGGTGGAAGGACAGTGGGAGTGTCTCCCCAGGGGCGTGCTGGGTTAGGCGCGGGCTGCGGGGTCCACTCAGACCCTCAGCTCCACTTCGGCTGGCACACGCCGTCCCTCCCTCCCTCCCGCCACCCCGGGGTGGGCGCGGGGCTGCTGGGTCCTGCGCCACGCCACGCGGGACCTGCTTCAGACAGGCAGGGCTCCTGCACGGGCCCCCGGAGGCCAAACCCTTCTGCCTCTGAGACACTCGGGCCTCGCCGCGAGGGCCACGTAGGGGAGGCGTGGGGTGTCTCAGGCTGAGCTTGCGACCTCCATCTCTGCTGCCGGGGTCCCCCTCCACTTCCCCCCACTCCGTGTTACTCCTCCTTGGCCTCTGCGCCAGGGTAGGGCCCCGGACTCTGCCTGCCGTGGCCCGGGAGAGGTCCCTTTGCATGTACCACTGCGGAGCCTGGATCGCCAGGCTTAAATTGGATGGGGCCGCCCCCACAGAGCCCTCTGGAAAGGCAGCAGGATTGGCTGTCCTAGTGCAGCTGGGAAAACAGACCCAAAGCAGGGGATAGATGACTTGCAAGCTGGAGGCTGCTGGAGATTTCCCTGGTTCCAGCTCCCGGTTGGGTGGTTTTCTGGACTGCACGGACTCAAGTAAGCAGACGGCCCAGGAACAAAACCAGAGTTAGGCGACCCCAGAGGAACATCTGGGGGTCGAGGGAGTGCATTCTGGGCCAATTGCTCTCCCCCTTCGGCTCACTCCTCCCGGTGTCCGAGCCGGTGTCCGTGCCCTGAGGAGAGGTTTTCCTATCCACCTTGCTCCTGGAGCTGATGGAGAGAGCACAGGTGTCATACAGGTAGACCCCACCTTACGGCACCCAGTGGACAAAACAGTACCGATTAAAGAGCGATTATCTTCAGGGTCAAATTCTCTTGTAAATGGAAGAATCCTCTTAAGAAGCAAGTCTTGTGCACGCTGGGTTTTCTCTGGGTTTTGTATAGGATTGGATGCATGGGGGATTCAGAAAGTCTTTCGCAAAAGCTCAAGATCCTTCCAGATTCCGCCTAGAGGTTTAATTAGAAATCTACCAGGGTGTTTTTCTGTTTGCTTGCTTTCTTTTTAAAAAGTATTTTGACTTACAAAAGCTCCCTTACCTTGAACTTTTTAAGAACACGTGCAGTGCAAAGAACAGGAAGGGGGCAATGAGGGTAATTCTAAATGGCAGATTGGTGTGCCAGGTTTTGTGAAAACAACAGAGATACACGCCCAACTGGGCCATGTCTTCCTCACTTGCTCCGCACCTCCGTCCGGGCTCCTTACCCAACCAGGAGCTATGAACAGGCAGTGGAAAGGGTCGTGGGTGAGGAAGTCAGCTCACAGGAAAGAAAAATGATTTTGGGAACAGTAATAACTAATTTCACTCAGTTTTGCTCAGTGCCAGGCACTGTTCTCAGTACCTCACTTGTATCAATTCAGTTATCTTCACCACAACCCTATGGAGTAGTACTAACATCTCTAGTTTGTGCCTAAGGAAGCTGAGGCACAGAGAGGTTAAGACACTCGCCCCACGTCATACCACACAGCTCCTAAGCTGGGATTTGAATCCAGGTATTTGTTTCTAGAACCAGGCACTTGGGAAATGACTCTTGCTTTATGAGCAGTCAGCCTGAACTGTGCAGAGGACAAGTTATACCCGGTCCTCACCAGGCACAGGCATATGGGCTGAGTATTCCTGAGCTGCCGCTCCTGGGAAGGAAACTGTGGGCCTCTGGGGCTTCCTGCTGGGATCTGAGGGTGGGGGTAGGGTGGGGTGGAGGGCATAAGTCCTATCAGTTCAGGTTCACATTTAGATGCTGAACCTCAGTCCTCCTGCCCGCAAAACAAAATGCCATAAAGAAGCCTTTCCTTTGGCTAAGAGCAAAGTGGACTTCAGTGGGAATGAAGGATTTGTCACAGGGGTGGCTTGTGTGTCAACGGGAGTCACTACCTAGCTAGGACTGGATAGCTTGTCACAATCCCCCATTTCTGAAAACAAACAGAACTGCCAGTAGCCCCGAAACCAGCCACTAAAGCTTGACACCTTGGGGCCTCACCACAAGTTCAAACGCAAATATTCCCAGCTCCTCACCCCCCAACCTCCCCTCCCCCACCCCAGTACTTTTCAGCTTAAGTGATTACTGGCTAGTGGGCCAGGCTGGTACTTGTGAGGGGGGTTGGGGGAGTTGGTTTAACAAATGGCAAGAGCCAGCTGTTGTGGACAGACTCGAGGGAGAGGCATGGGGCGGCCCAAGTCAAGTCCTGCCTAGTGCTTGGCCCAGACTGAGGACCAGGGCTGAAAAGGGTTTCTGGAAGCCTCCATAGGGACATGCATTGGAGGATCTGCATGCAGACGGCCTTGGCTGTTAGAAGGGGACAGGACAGGAGCTCTCTACTCAGGGTAGGATCAGTCCCCCACCTCCATCCCTTATGCCCTCCTCCCCCCGCCCCCAGCTTCTAGCACAGACAGAGATCTTGAGGGAAGCAGCCACATGCAGCCTAAGAGGGAGATAGGTGCAACTGGGGTCAGAAGAATCTGGATTAAAACTTCCTTAGAAATATCTTGCTTATCGGGAGCAGGGAGCCATTCAGAGAGGAGAAGAACACAGTCACCTGGTTGGCAGGGTGTATGGGTATGTGCTTTGTCAGATAGGAAAGAGAAAGGGGTATTTAGATAAAAGGTTAGGGGTGTTTTTTTCCTGGTTCCTTGGGGACCTGTCTAACCACCTTGGGTAGTTCGGGAGACCCCTTTATCTCAAAGGCATCAGGGTAGGTAAATGACTTTCAGACCTTCCTCAGCCTTCTCCCAGCCTCACCTTGGCTTCTCCCCTGCATGTGCCCTCTTAATTGAAGGCTTGAGTTCTCCCCTGTCCTACTCACTGTCTCCTTCTCTGTCTCTAATTTTCCCCAAATTCCTACAAGTCCTGCCCTGCCCAAGACCCAGCTCTAACTCCCTCCTGCCTGTTACATGAAATCCAGTCTTCCACACAAGGTTTCCCAGGCCACCGTCAAACCTGGTTTTCTAAGATGCTGGCCCCTGAAGTCCCTGGAACACAACACAAAAGCCAGTTTTGTCCTCTGAGCTGGGTCCTTGGTTGGTGTCCCATCTAGAAAGCCTCTGTCTCTCCCTCCCAGCAGCTTGTCTACCTTTCAGCATGCAGCGAACTTGGGCTGAGAGCCTACTGGTGGTCTGGCCCCAGACACGATTCTTGCTTTAAAAACTCATCTCAACATGGGAGTTGCCACATGACCAGGAATGCCACTCCTAGGTATATACCTCAAAGAACTGAAACATGTCAATACGAAACCTTCTACAGGAATGTTATCGCAGCATTATTCATAACGCCAAAAAGAGGGAGCAAACCAAATGTTCATCAGTAGACATATGGACAAACAAAATGTGGTACACCTATACAGTGGAATAGTATTCAGCCAGAAAGATCAGTGAGGTTCTTATGCAAGCTACAGCATGAGGGAGCCATGAAAACATCATGCTAAGTGGAAGGAGCCAGGCACAAAAGACCCCATGCTGTATGGCTCCATTTCTATGAAAGTCCAGAAGGGGACTGTAGATATAGGAAGCAGAGTGGTAGGTTCCTAGGATATGGAGCAGGAGTGGCGAGTGACTGCTAGCAGGTACAAGGTTTCTCTCTCCGGTGAGGACAATGCTGTAAACTTAAGTTGTGGTGATGGTTCCCAGATCTGAACGTGCTAAAAGCCATTGAATCACACACTTTCAATAGATGAATTTTATGGTATGTAAATTATCTAAAATTTTTTTGAGATAATTAAAAAAATTTTTTTAATTTTATTTATTTATTCATGATAGACACAGAAAGAGAGGGAGGCAGAGGCAGAGACACAGGCAGAGGGAGAAGCCAGGCTCCATGCAGGGAGCCCGACGTGGGACTCGATCCGGGGTCTCCAGGATCACACCCTGGGCTGAAGGCGGCGCTAAACCGCTGAGCCACCCGGGCTGCCCTAATTTAAAAATTTTTTAAAAGTAACCTCTACACCAAGCATGACTCCCAAACCCACAACCTCAAGATCAAGAGTCTCACACTCCACTGACTGAGCCAGCTAGGTGCCCTTATCTCAATTTTTAAAAAAGATTTTGTTTATTTATTTGACAGAGAAAGAGAGAGAGCATACACAAGCAAGAGGAGCAGCAGCAGAGGGAGAGAGAGAAGTAGTAGCTGAATAGGGAGCCTGAGACAGGGCTTGATCTCAAGACCCTGAGATCATGACCTGAGCAGAAGGCAGATACTTAACCGACTGAGCCACCCAGGCGCCCTCAATTTTTTAAATGAAGAAAAATCTCAAAACCTAAAATTTTCTAAATTCATCCCACCCCTTAATTCACTCATCCAACACGTATCTTTTGAGCCAGACCCCATTCTCAGGGTGAATATGATGGACAAGGTCCATGTTCCCATGGAGCTTAGGCTCTGGAGCACCATGTAAGTGAAATGAAGGACA